GGGTTCTGATGAGAACAGTGTAAGCGTTCAAGCAAACCACTTCTGAAGATGCAAGCCACTCGTGCTTGCGAAACGTCAGGAAGAAATTCTACCGAACAACGGCCTAAAAACCCATTAATTTCGAAGCTATTTAATCAAAAGCCATTTGCAGCAGAAAGCTTGTTTTTTATGTAGAGAATTGGAAGAAGTTCGCGTCCGAGATAGCCAAAATGTATATGTGATAGAACGTCTGAAGGAGTTATAGTGGTCTTTTGGAAAACTCAAGTGTTCAAAGCCTATTTTGGTGCAAAATCGAGAACTAGGAGTAGCGGTAGTCGAAGATATGAGGGGTGTTCTAAAAATATATATATATATATAAACTAGAAACGCGATAAAGCTTTTATAAGATTATATTGTAAAGTAGTACAAATAGGACACCCTTCGTATGCAGCATGAGTCTGAGTGGCGAAAGGACTACATCCGCTTACACCCATTCAGGAACGTGCTGTTCAGATGATTTTTAGACTTATTTAAAAGAAAACCGGAAAAGTCCTATTACAAAAAAAACACTTTTAAACTTATACGTAGTAATAAAAGTACTAATACTAATAAACAATAATTTAGTAAAGTATAGCAATACTCTAGAGGACTAGGCCATAAGATTACATATATAAAACAGCAGTAGCTTGCGAAAGTTCGATTTGTAGACTGTGTTTTTATCGTAAACAATCAAGAGTGGATTTATGGGTTTCGCTCCGAAATAACGACGGCCGTTAATTTTTCGGGGAAAACCGAAACCAGTGCACAACAACCGAGGAAAACCTATGGACCCACTTGGGAATACTGTGAATTTCAAATCAATGCAAGCCCAAATTTCGTAGGGGCAACCACCATTAAATCAGACTAGTTGCAAGCGGCTGTTGCAAGATGAAAAGTGAGATATAACTATTGAAGTAAGGAAAACTCTTAACATGTATAAGGCTCTATATGTACAAAACCTACTGGATAATAAAAACTCTATATACAGTAAGATAATGTGTATTTTTTGGTTTGATGCCCAGTGAGTGATTGCGATACTCACGCCAACCTTGTTTAGCCCAACAATCATCGACAGTAAAAAGGGAAAGATGTTTAAAAACAAGCAACAGCGTAAAATATGAGTGCTTATTATTAGGTTGTATGTATCACTTTTTATATACACGAATATTTACAACTTAGGAAAAATTGAAAATTAATTTTCAAACGCCGTGACAGTGCGCGGGTGCTTCGCGAATGTTAAACTTTCAGTTTCGTCTCCTCCTTCTCGCTTAGCAGCAGCTCCTCCTCCATGAATTCCCTACCTCTAAACAACGCCAATCCCTCACCCTCATAGGAGAGCAGGGGCGAAACCTCCACGCCCTCCCCCTGGCATTTGCCGCCCATCGTTTCAATCCACCTCTTGTGCAGATTGAGCAGATCTTTCTTCGCAGTGAGGAAGCACACTTTTCCGGACGCGTCGCTGTTTTTAATCGGCGAAAACTCCTGAAAGCGCTCGATTTGCCACAGCAGGAAATTCTGCGTGTAGCCGATCACATCGAAGATGAACTTTTCGATTTTGATACAATTGGGGAATGTCGGGACGACTTTGTCGCCGTCCCCGTTGATCTGGGTGACGATTTTCTGAGCCATGTGCAATGTGAGGTCTGACTCGTGTTGCACTGAGACTTTTCTGAGGAAGTCAATGGTGAAAAAGTGGTTGCAAATGTTGCCGGCGTTGAACACCAAGTCGTCGTCGGGTGTTTTGCGCAAATCCGGGATGGCCGCCGGGATTTCGGAGTATTCGAGGATTTTCACGTCGCTGTCCACTTTGAGAACCAAACCCAACGACTCGGTGGGGTCGGTTTTTTTTATCACTTTCAGCCCTGCAATAAAGAAATGTTCCAAAAAATTGCCTGGGAAATCAGGGAAATTTTTACCGAAATCCACCTGGTCCCGGATGCATTTTCCCATAAAAACCGGGTCTGCGACTTTGACTAAAATGTTGTCCACGCTGTGTATATGGATGTATTTGATGCCCTTTTTCTCCATTTCTTGGATAATTTTCTGCTCTCTTAGAGCCCGGTATAAACCGCCATTTCCTGGACAAACGGAGGTTTAACCACCGGGTTTTTACAGTCAAAATACTGAAATACACACCGTCCGGGGTCATCGCGATTTCATCCTTTTCCTCCATCAGCAACTTGCCCTCCAAGTCAAAGCAAGGAACCAGCGCCTGCTTGAACAACCGCACGTTTTCCCGGCCCAGACTAAAGTAGTTGTTTTGCTGCAGGAATTTTTCGGTTAATACGTGAGTTGCATCGCTAGTCATAAAGTACCACGGGATTTTTCCGACGACACCTACAAAAAGCCGGTTGCTTTATTAATTTCCTTTACTCACAGCTGGACGGTTTCCCTACCGGTTCTCCCATGAGCCAGCTCGATGAGGCGCTGAATTCTCTCGGCTTGCAGTTGGAACAGGGTTTTGCCTAAAGAAAACGTGAAAAGAGCCGCTCTGAACTGCTCAGATTGAAACCATACCTGACGGTATTCCTGTGGGACACATTCCTTTAGGATAGGGCATTCCCAGGCGCGTTCCTTGCCCCCCAGCCAACACAATTACCGCTATTGTGCTTTTGGCAATTTCAGTGAAACCGATATTTCTATAGGCCTCGATTTCCGCATGTGGTAAAACCTTTTCAACCTACCCAAAGCAATCAAAACAGATGGTTGTAATCAACAAGATGCTCAGTCATCTTTTGAGCAAGGAGCACAATCAGTGAATGTGTTTCTTGCAATTTCATATTTACCTCAACCTCTATAGGCGACAGGCCATTATCAGCCACTTTTTTGCAGGCCTCTTGGTCTACATGGGCCTTTTGCCACATCTGCAGGGCGGCTTTAAGGTCTATACTATTCAGTTGCGCCAGGAAGCCCTTCTGTTGGGTCTCGTTCAACTCGTCCCAGAATTTGAGCACGTGGCTCTGACCGCACGCTTCCAGCAGCTTCTTCATATCGTCAAAACCCTCCATTCTATTGCCTTGCAAATGTTTTGAATATGCAAACTTGTTTGTAACTTTTCCAAACAGGGGTTAGGTCTGCTTGACAATCTGTTGTCAGTCAGAAAGTGAAATGTTCTAGACACATGAGCGAAGTAAAAAGCCGATGGTGGCCGAGTGAGCTTCTAAGCAAATTTTAAAGTTATTTTTCCCTGAGGAAACCAACTAGCTTCCAACCCTCTGCACCCCAATGCAACGAAAGTTATGGGAATATTTTCAAAACAGAACATTTAATTCAAACCCCCTTTCGGGCAAGTACGGCATTTTAGCCCACTAATTGGCATGTGACTAATGACCAGAAAACAAAACGTCAAAAGTTGTCAACTTACTTATTTTTTTTATTGTTTTCTCCTCAACAAAATCAGGCAGTAACTAAAGGGCAATGAAAATCTCGGCTGGCTCCAGGGAAGGTAAGACTCTCCAAACTAAGCCCCTTGTTAAATTTTCGCCGCTCCAAATCAGCCCCATTTTCAGATGGATAAATACACAGTGGACCTAGATCAAGTTCTCAACGATTTTGAGTACTCAGAACTCACAGATCAGCAGGCAAAAAGTGTGCCCGACAGGCCGCAGCATGCAGTTCCACTCCAGCCAGTGGTTAAACACAGTATCAACAATGTGTTCCATAGTTTAAACGAGTATATCAACAGTGGTATTAGTAGCGCAACATTACTAGTGGAGAGTCCAGACGAGCCTGGCCCCAGTGACAATAATGTAGATTTTAATAATATACATCTGGAGGAACATCCAAGCAGTGTGGAAGTTGTTCCTGCTTCAAAAACAGAAGACCAGCTCGATGAGGCTGAAGCACCAGCAGAAGAACTTGGTGTAAATAGAAGTGAAGCTGACAGGACACATCAGGAAACCCAGCTGGTTCTTTTGGAAGATGTGGACGAAAGTAGTTTGGAACCTGTCCAAACAACCCAGCCTATCGCCGGAGTGGCAGATGATTCGGACTCAAGCGCTGTCTATTGTAGGAAGACTGAAAATTTAGATTATTCGCTGTTAGACTTGGAAGACAGTCCCAAACCGACCCCAAGCAGTATCAATGATAATCTTGAATGTGATATAAATGTTAATGGAAAGGCTGATAATTCCTTAGATAACAATACGACTTGTAATGGGGACAAGGAAATTGATGCTTTGTGTCCGGAAGATTCCACCGACCAAAAGGAGGATGGGCACAGTGAAGACCTGCTGGTGAAGATAGATGAAGATGAAAGTTTTCAGAGCGCAACCACCGATAAGTTTGAACATTTTGTGATTGAACCGGCCAAGAGTCCTTATGCCTTGGGAATAGCGGATGTTCAGCAAACGGAGAGTTCTACTCCTGGAATTGAGCTGGAAGGAGTAAAAGGAGTAACTGTACAGGAAGAGGAAACCGCTGTTGTCCACTTAGAAGAGGCTAGTGAAGATGTTGAAATAGAACCTGCTGCTGAAGAAGGAAGAGCGACTGTTCAAGGCTCTGATGAGGAAGTGCCATGTAATCCTGAGGTGGATCTGGAGGAAAACTGTGCAAAAAGTGAGCCAAGTGAACTGCCAACAGCGTCGGTCGAGCCTGAAGTGGCGGCAAAAATTGCGTCATTTTCTGCCGATTTGGAGATCGATGAAAACGAGCTGAATAAGATGTTGGAAGACTTGGAATTGGAGGAGCAAGAAGGCGCTGAAGAGAAAGTCGAAGAACTACCAGTTGTTGACACTATTGACCAGCGGGAAATCAGTGAACAGTCTGCAGGTGTGAGCGCACTTGTTACCAGCCAAGACGCTGAAGTTGGTATGTTTGTTACATGAATCTCGGGGTTTCCTGCACCTGATTTTTATGTGTATTTCAGTCCCGCTGGCTGACGATCTGGAGAGCAATCCCGCAGTTGAAGAACCATTGGCCAAAGAAAACCAGCCTCCTATGGAATGTTTGGAGATGGAACGTCCGAAGAAAAGTACAACGTCCAAAGTGGAGAAGCTGGAACAAGAAGCAAGGAAGGAACCAGACGAAGAACCGCCGGCCATCAGGCCGCAGAATCTTCCCCTGAACAACCAAGCCAAAGAGGAGCATGTTGAGCGGAAGATTGACTTAATCGGTATGGGCCCAGATAAGTACCATAGGCAGCAGGAATGTAATCTTTTATAAATACAGTTCTCAATCGGTGGGGGTTTTGGTTTCACTTTGGCTGTGTTATAGGCAGTCCAGGTTCCACTCCATACAACAACGTTTACATAAACAAATCAATCGAACCCAAAGGCACACACGATAACGAATTCGACTACACTAGTTCTGCGAGTCCGACTTTTTCCGACTGTAGCGCGGATAGCACCAGTACAGCCAGTACAGTTTCCATTGAAGATGCGCCGAACACTACGAAGAATCCTGCCGGTATCAAGAACACCAATGCGGATCAACAGCCTGTGGATGCAGGAGACAAACAAGATCAGCAGCCTGTGGCAACAGGTATGTTTTTACAGTGGCTTTGAGCTTTCAAGTCTGTGAAGATTGATAATTGTGGTTTGCAGGAGCCACCAAGAGTGAAGAATCAAGCAGTGAAGGCGCGGAAAGAGTCACTAGTACCACTTTGGATGGCTCCAGAGACAGTGAAACATTTGCGGGTCTATCAGGTGATTCGCAATTGGGCAAAGCGGCTCCTCTGTGGATTCCAGACGCTGATGCTGCATCTTGTCTGCACTGTGATATGAAATTTACTGTTATAAAAAGGCGGCACCATTGCAGAGCCTGTGGATTGGTAAGCGGCTTAAGCCAGTTGAGCTGAGTGAAAACCTTTTTTCTAGGTTCTGTGCTCAAAGTGTTGCGGCCTAAAGTTCAGGCTGGAGTATTTGGACGCGGAGGCGCGGGTTTGCAACAAATGCCACGACATTCTCAACCAGTAAGTGTTTGCTTTCGCAAGCGAAACTTGTTGCTGATGGTTTTTGCTCTAGGGATGCAGCGAATAGTGCGGGACCTGAGAGCAATCCTGCAGAAACTGCGCAATCATTCAGGCCCAATCCAAACAACCCACTCGAGTATTGTTCGACAGTGTCGCCGCTGCAGCAAGCTGGTCAGGATGGCGCTCCTCCACCCTCCGTGATGGTACCAGTAGGGGTGCTGAAAAGAAAAGGCAGGTTCCATTGATTGCAAGTTTGCATCGGTTTTAATCTGTTGCGCTTGCAGGTTCCAACAAGAAGTCGAACAAATCGGTGATGTTTTGTGATGGAATAGCGCCGGGAAGCGATTTGACCATTCTGGATCAGGATTTCAACTACAATTCAGCCTCCAAGACGCCCAAACCGGTTGAAAAGGCGGAGCAACCGAAGAAGACGGAAGAAAAAATCGCGCCTCCGGTTGCGCTGCCCGCACCAAAGATCAGCCGGAGTCTGCCGAAGATTGATGATAGTACGGGGTGTTTTATTCCGCGCAATGAAACTAGTTTGCCTCCCACGGTGTTGATCAGTAAAACAGGTGAGTTAGTGGCTAAAACTCCATACTTTCCAAACAAAAGTTTACTTGTTCACTTTGGCGCTGCAGAGGAAATAAATGCTAAATGTCGGTCTGCGAAAATCACAGCCACAACAGGACGCGATTGTGAAAAAAATTGAAAATTACCTGATAATTATTGAAAATGTCAAGCTCATATTGACTGAAAATTTGAGCTTTTAACACCGGTAGAAGAGAATTTACTTTACAAAATACATCAAAAATTGACCTTCTCACTCTGTCAGTTACAGAGAAAATAAATGATTATCTCAAGCCTGTAAAACATACCGCGAGTAAGGAAGACAACTGATGTTTTCCTCATTCTTCAGTGTTTATTTTTTGCTCCTGGTTGCTTGCTTCTGAGCTCAATTAGTATCTAACTCTGGTCAATGAAAATGAATAGCAAATTTCCTAGAGGTTTTGAACATTTTTGAGGTTCCCCTGTATCTCTTAAGCGAGCACAAATATTCAAATTCTGTGGAATGTTCATTGGGAGCTTGACCCCAAAAACTTTTTCGATAGCACTAACAATTACTCTGTTGAAAAGTGTCGAAAATGGGACACCCTGTACGTTGTTGGTGGTAGTGAACCCATCGATATTCTGACTTATAGATAAATGTTCCGTTTCAGATTTGGTGTATTCAGACTGTTCGAACACGCAAAGTGTGGTGGAAGTGTTGAAGACCGAAGTCCTAACATTTGCGATCAATCAGAATCTTTTTGTGCGTGTGCGTGTTATTAACAGTGAGTAGCAACTTTTAAGCCTAAAGGCGCGTATTTGTATCTTGTGTTGATTTCTAGTGAGTTGCTGCATCAACAAATACGCCTGGTGTTTCTGCTCCGAAGGCCTCATCAATGTGGGATGCGACGAAGTCGTCTATCTGATCGAATACATCGATGAGGAAAGCTTTGTGCCCAAAGATGTGTTTTTCCACATCCAGAACGTGTATTTGGATGCAGTCAAAGGTCGGCTACTCGCCAAGTTTTACCTGACTGAACTCACCAACCTCCCGTACTTGCAGGCACCGCTGTGAACGAGCTGGGGATTTCTTTGCACAACACTTTCAATTTTCTCGATTCGCGTAATCATGCGGGTTTCGTCTATATTAAGCCATCCTTTCAGTGCTTGGAGAACGTCTTAGTTCCGAAAAACGAACCCTATTTGATAGGCATATTGATACACAGGTAATTTTTAAGCGTGTTTTTTGTTGAGGATGTGCATCTGTGTGTTCCAGATGGGAAACGCCTTGGGCTAAGCTGTTCCCTTTGCGATTGATTCTGCGCTTAGGGGCGGATTATCGGTATTATCCCAGCCCGTTGATTTCCACCAGGCACCGGGACAGTGTTTTTGTGGAAATTGGACACACCATTATTAATCTACTAGCTGTGAGTATCCAGGCAATTCCCGGAAGTTTTGTTTTAGTGAGGGTTCCATTAATTGCAGGATTTTAGAAACTTTACCTACACCCTGCCCCAGATTAGGGGGCTGTATATCCACATGGAAGGGAAAAAGACCACGATTACCATTCCAAAGAACCGCTACGACTTGGTAGGTGACCAAAACGCCTGTTTTTCAGCCAGTGTTAAATGGGGAATTTTGCAGGTGATAAAGTCAATAAACAATACGAGCGAGCACATTTTGGCTTTCGCAGGCAATTTCAGTCCTGCGGCCGATTCCCATTTGGTTTGCATTCAGGACACTCAGGGGCCCCAAAACAATTACAGCACTCATGCGATAAATATTCATAACATGCCCCGGAAAGGTAACTGGAAATTTGCGTGTAAATCCCCAGGTTGATTGTTCGGTGCCTTTCCAGTAACGGGGGCCAGTTTTATAGTGTTTAATGGGTCGTTGAAGAGCAGCAGCGGCCTGACGGCCAAATCCAACATAGTGGAGGATGGGCTGATGATTCAAATTCGGCCGGAAAGCATGGAGAAAATCCGCGATGATTTGCGCAAATTGAAAAATCACACTGTCTCTTGCGGGCTGGTCAACGCCACGAATTCGGACGACATCGAGACTGTTAACATCGTCTGGGGAGAGAACGATTGCGACTTTAATGTTGGGTAATTTTTCGTTTGATTCACCGAAGCAGCTTCGCTCCAAGAGTGTTCAATATTTCTCCTTCGATCGCTTATTGCAGAGTGAAATCGCCCGTGGATTTAGCCGACATGCACGGAGTTCCCTCCATTCGAGTCCATAATGGAAAGGACTACTTTTGCTCCAATGGCTCGCGACTCATTAGATGGACCGAAGTCTTCATTCTACAGGTAAAGTGACGCCAGCGCGCGCCGGGGGGCGATATTTTCTAGTTCATTTTAGAGCGACGAAGAGAATCCACGCAACCAAGATCCACTGGATGTTTCCAAGGTATCGGAGAGCGTATCAAAGGCCTGTTGTACTGCGCTGCTGAAGTACTTGGATCTCTTGGTCGCCAACAATTGCCAAAAGATCGGAGTTCGGGCCACTTTGCATGTGGAAAATGTAAGTGGAAGTTTGCCGGTGTGAGCGACTATTCCTGATTCTCCCCGTTTTGCAGGTTTCCTATTCGGCAGGCAGTAACGGGGTGAAACTCGCTCCGATCTACATGCGCAGTCTTGATAACGAACTAATTCCGGTTTTACACGGAATAACTTCGAACAATCTCGGCAATAATGCGATCGTTCTGGAATTGATCTTCCGCATTCTAAACGCATAGGATTCCCCTTAGAGTGTAAGGCAGTTTGAGGTAAACAAAAGGAATATTTTATATTTGTTGTTGTGTGGTAAGCGCGCATTTTGGGGCTTTCGACGAACAGAACGAATGAACATTTGCCTAATGTGCCGTCATTAAAAATAAGGCAAATATAAATTTTCATTCGTTCGTCCGTACGTTCGAAATGCGCTCTTAACTTAAGTATTTGTTGGACACTTGCGGTATTAACTTCCAGACATCGACAGTGAGATGTACAGCGGCTTATTGGTTAAGCCAGATTTGCTTTTATATTTTCACGTTAATTTTGTGCTAAATTGTTGTGTTATTTTGGAAGGAAAAAACGTCGGGAGGCCGAAAAAACATTCTCAAATCGTGCCTCAATGGAAAAGTTTTTACCGTACTGTTAGTGCAAATTTTATTATTTATTGTCAGCGCTTCAAACACAAAAGGTGTCTTTATGACATGCAATGGCCCGATGGCTTTCTGCACGGTGTTAATATTAATTTTATATTGGAAAAGTTGCCCAGAAGTATTGGAGAAAAGGGCTCGATAATCGAGTGGAGGAAAATTGTGTGTGATATTCAACTAATAATTAAGCGAATAGTGCAATGAATCTGATAGGCTGGAGTTAGATGCTGGCTTTTATCTATTATATGTATATTATGTTTTAATTGTATGCTATCAAAGTTACTTAAATCATCAACAGTTGTCGATTGCGTTGTTCCTGATTGCCTGCGCTTCCCCTATGCGAAGGACGAGTTGTTCGGTCAACTCGCTACTGTCAGTCGGGATCGAAAATTGCAAAAACTCCGGGAATTGTGCGCGTTTTACTTAAAAATTGGTGATTTTCCGAAAAGGAAACTTGTGAGGGCGCGTTTGCGATGTTTTTCATGGCGGGGGTAGTTTTTTCAGGCGAAATTGATCGCTTTTCGAGCGGAGAAAACTTGGTGGATGGAAGCTTCTGGATGGACTCGGGGCCGGATGGAGAAAGGTATGTGTCATTTTCATAGGCGCGGTTTTGCTTCACAGAAACTTTGAAAAACGTGTCTTTTACGTTTTATGACAAATGTGATTTTTGAATGTTGCCTATGAACAAAAAACTCGCCACATCCTCATTTAGATATTCGGATAAATCTACGACGGTCTGAAGCATAAATGTACAGGGTGTTTGACTGAGTTTTAGGCTCAAGTACAGTTTCTACCAACCTTCCCCCATGTCAATTTTGAGTCGTTCCTTTTCCATCTAAAGTCGACTGTCAACCGCTCAGAAAAAAGCCGAAAATTCCGGGAATTTTTCACGCTTTATTTGGAAATTCGTGATTTTTTCGAAGAAAAGCTTGTGAGCGAGCGTGTGTGGTAGTTTTTATATGCGCGGGAGTGGTTTTAGAGCAAAATGCGATGTTAAAGTTTTTTGGCAGGAAACCTTGGTGGATAGAAGCCACGGGATGGATACGGTGGAATACAAATTTTAAAGGTATGTCAGAGTGGAGGCTCTAGATATTCATCATCATTTTCGTATTTTTTTTTCTGTATAGTATAGTTTTCTGTTCGTATAGTTTTTTCTTGTGCAAGAATTCCCAGTAATTAATGAAAAAATGGTACCAGTTAAATGGTTAAATGTAAATGTTAAAAACTGTAAGTGCCACTTTTTTGACCAAAACCGATTTTTACAAGAGCAAACGCGCCTAATGAGTTAAGTAATTTCAAGGGAGTAGAACAGTAGAATATTAATTTTTCACTTTCTGCCATAACCACGAGGAAAAAAATGTTTTTGAATGTTGCCTGTGGATAAAAAATCATCCGTAATTTCATTTAGACGTTTTTTTTTTCTTTTTCTAAATTATCAATAAGTGTTTAACAACACCAATAAATGTACAGAGTAGTTTTGGGCGTGGTCACGCCTTTAGTACTGTTTTACATACCTTCCCCTATGTCAATTTCGGTCGTTCCGCTACTGTCAGTCGGTCACCAAAATAAGCAAAATTCTGAAAATGTTGGCGTTTCAATCGTAAATTGCTGATTTTTCCAATAGAAAACTTGTTAGTTCGCGCTTGTGATAATTTTTATACCGGCGGGAGTGTTTTTTGCGACAAAATGGGCTGGTGATCGAAAGTTTGAGCGCAAGTTCGCACCAGGCAGAACCTTGGTGGATGAAAGCCGCGGGATGGGCATGGTTGTATAGAAATTGCGAAAGCGGTTAATGAAATTGGGATTTATTCTGGGTTATGAGACAAAATTTTTTTTCAATAGCCTGTGGAGAAATAACTAGCCATATATATATAGATATGTTCAATTTGTTCTTTTACTGAATTAACCCTAAATGTTTGGCGTTAGGATCTGGCCACACCTTTAGTACTATTTCCAGCGGCCTACCCCCCTGTCAAATTGAGTTCTAAGGTCAATCCGCTTCTGTCAGTCGGTCACAAAAATAGGCAAAAATTCTGGAAATTTTCAGCATTTCAATAATGAATTGCTGATTTTTCCAAAGGGAACAATGTTAGTGCGCGTTGGTGATAATTTTTATATCGGAGGGTGCGTTTTTTGCCGCAAAATCCGTCGGTGATGAAAGTTGCAGCGCAAGTTTGCACCAGGCAGAACCTTGATGAATGAAAGCCGCGAGATGGACACGATGGTATGGAAATTGCCAAAGCGATTAGCGGAATTAAGATTTAAAGGTATGTCAGTGTTAGTTCAACCCAATATTGTTCTCCATCATTTTCACATACGTTTTCGAAATAAGCAAAACGTAATAAAAAATATGAAAAATTAGCAAACGTACTTTTTTTCATACAATTTCTCATCGGCGAAACGTTCATCTTGTTATTCCCTTGCTTCAAGGTACCAATCAATCACGTTCTTGTTATTTTCTTAACACAAATTCGAGTTGAAAATGTGTTAAGCTTTTATGTTAAGGACGATAGAAATGGGATCGCAAAACAGTATCCAATATTTTCCAGCTAGTCCGACGTTTCATGAAAAATACATTTGATTGATACGCTAAAAACGTGAAACTTTAACGAAATCGAATTCCATCTCCCTTTTCGTTGAACTCAACGATTTTCCTGCGTAATTATTCGAAGAAAACTACCGCATACCTTGAAACAGACATGCTGATTTGTACTTTCAACCTCGCTTTTAACATAACTCTTAAGTCGGATAGCTCAATTAAATAAATTAATTAAAATACCTTCAAAATTCTACATAGTTTCCTCACACACCTTCCAGAGCTTCAGTCATGTAACACAAAGACCCACCCCGTATGCAAACCAGAGTAGATAAGAATCAGAAACACGTACGCGTTACAACAATAACATGAATAGTTAAAAATAAATTGCATAATCTGTCTTAATTTCAACGATGATGGACATTCAAAGCATAGGTAAAAGCCATTATTTGGCAATCGAACGTGTTGAATGACTGTAATGGTTGGTGGAAAAATGAGATGTTTGCCGTCTGAATCTCACCTTTGGCCTAATTTTACACCAAAAAAACCTTAAAGCTAATGGCGCAATCAAACACAAAAGTATTATTATGTTTATATATTACAGTTATATAATACAACAAAAATCGATCGAATACATAAATATTTCGATTTTTAAAAAAGTCACAAACTCTTTTATATTGTATATACAAGTTAAACGTCTTTAAAAATCGCAACATCTACAGTGCCTTTCTCGTGAATCGCCTAAAACAGTTACTTATGCGCACGTCTAGCAGATGATTGTTGAATGTTTGCTAACGTTGCTCATGCTTAATTATTTTCGACTTTACATACATACAAACAGTCCCAAGCATGAACAACCGCTAACAATCAAGCACCAAGCTAAGTAACAAATACGAAGAGCATTTGAGTAATAATAAAATACTGGCAAAATAGAGAGGATCAAGCTGTCTATAAGTACGTTCGACAAAAGGAACAAACATAAATCCTGGGCATGGGACAAACATTATCAATATACAGGGCTGTCATTTTTAGCACGAAGTGCACTTCTTGCACACATGCACGCGTTGAAATAAATAGGGGAATGTAAGGAAATCAGCTTGGGACACCCTGTATACGCAGGGCACTTGATCAGGTTCACCCTTATGGATACAGAACGAGTAAACGTACTTATGCGATTACAAGTTAATATAATACTGTAAACAAATGTACAAAAATATATAAAGCCTTACACGAGGAAATTGTTCAGTATTACAACAAAATGGCAAGTGTGTATAATCGTGGCAAATAGATCTATAAATACAGGCTATGTACAAAAAATTTACAAAAAAGCACTTAGCTAGTGAGTACGTGAATAGAGCTATATTTAAGAAAAAAAAAACAAGACAATCTAACACAATATTAAAAAAGGGAATGTTTCGAACAGACGAAATCTTAAAGACATTTTGCAGCACCCTTCTGGAAATTGAAAAGCCACGACATTGAGGACATTCTTCTGTCAGGGGTGCTTATGGAAAACAAAGGACAATTATAAAGAGGGCTTTTGTTTTTTACATTTAACCCAATTGCGAAGCAGCATTTTGACTGGAAAACAAGTGAAACGCTTGGCTTATTGCCGCATAAAGAATTCTTTGTTATTGCCCAAAATTACACGACTCTTTCAAGTTTATAAAAATGTATTTGTATCTGAGTTTATTGCCGATTTAATAAGCGCAAGAACGAATAAAAAAACTTGAAATGATGAAATTTTGCTTTCGAACTCCCTCGAGCGCTTCCATTGCCTTCCACTTACAATCTTAACATGTCTATTTCACTAGAAAACACATTTAGGACGGTCGTCTTCAATGTTTTGCCATTAGAACGTTAATAAATACTAGCTATCTTTGCTCAGTCAGAAATTGTATAAATTAAAACAGACACACTTACATACACGCATACATACAGGGTTCACTTATGTTGAAAGTAAAAAGAGCGGGAATCATTTGTTATGGTACTACAGCATTATTTTCGGACGCCGGGAAAGTTCCAATTATGAAATGCCTATTTGTAATAGTCAGAAAACAGCAAACAGCCAACGCTCGCATAGCTAAATGTATATTAAACTTTCAGCGGCCTGGTATCAAATCACCCTGTATTGTACAGATAATGTAAAAAATATATATAAAAAAATTAAAATATCATATATCTGCCCCTCAGTGGGTGTTTTTGTCTATTATTTACACGTCTTTTTGCAGGTTTATTATACACTTTATAGTCTAAGTTTAAATATATTTAGCCACGTTGTAGTTTATACAGGTAGTTTCGGAAAATCGGCGGAATTAACGAAACTAGCTGTACAAACGCAACACTGCATAGATCTAACAACCATATAGTGTAATAGTTAAATATTGTAATCAACATTTGGAGAAAATGCGCAGTAGAGTATTATTTATATCACTTATACGGGGGAAAAACGTACGCTGCCTTAATATTTGATAAATATCTACCTACCTAAGGTATAATCTTATTCGACTCCATAAGAACAGGCCCTACTTATGCAGCTGTACACTAGCTTGCTCGTGTATAGCAAAATTTCGTAAATAAATACTTTGTCTTATAGGGATTTCATCCCATTGTCCCAGCGAATAGTGCTAGATTTCAAAATCCAATTAATCCCTGTATGTACCAGGAATCTCAATATGTCCTCAATAAACAGCCGCTATCAGGGCCATTTAATAGGCCAACGTATTTTTTTTGTTTTTTACCGCAACACATAAAACCTGATTTATCCATAACAACAGAGAAGGAATCTACAAAAGAAGGGCTTTTATAAGAAGGAACGTAATTTTTTTAAATAAAGAGCAATCTCTTAGAATGCAGCAGGTTTTCTTGGACGAATGCAGTTGATTAGTGTGAAGTGACTTAAACAATGAGACTTTGCGCGCGACCCCGGTAATGCCAGCAAAGGCGACGAGGACAGGCTTATTTTGATGCCGAACGCCCTGGCGCTCTCTCTTGTGAGCACAGGAACGAATATGGCCGAGGCCGCCCGACGGAGTTGGAATGTCCCCGGTTTTACTACGGGGTGTAAGCCGTTAGTTCATATTTAAAGGCCAGTTTTTCTAGCAAAGGATAACAAGCGAAAATTCGGGTTTGTAGGTAATAATAATTAAAAAAAACTACAGTGGGCGGTTTAAGCAACGAAATACTTACAAAGTTTCAAATGCCACAGATATCGGGCAATTGTTCCAAACGACACAGTTTTCAGCTTCGGGTTGACGCAAGGTTTGAACCTCTACTTCAGTAGAAGAAGATACAGAAAAAAATCTGGCAGCCAACTGACCAATCCAGACCAAGAAAACCACTCAACAGCATTCAAGAGCATTAAAACCGTGTTGGACAAAAACTCCCTCTTATTACAAGTAAACCTCCCCTTTAGCACATTCCTTCCCTGTTCGGATCAAACATTATGCATCCGAAAAATGGTTCTGATCGGCCCGCATGGCCTTAAATCGCACAAAACCCTGCTCGTCGACCAGCATGGTCTGGTTCCGGTCGTGGTTGGGCAACGTCTGGATGCCCAAATGGGGCCTCGGATGGCTTTTGCGTGATCGACCTGTCGATCTTCTTCCCGACGTGTTCGAGGAGTTGCGCGATCTTCTATCAAAGTCGTTGCGCTCAAACTCATGCCTTGTGCGCTCGTACTGGTGCCCCTGTGGGTTATCAATGGGCTCACTGTAGATGTTTCTATCGGAGATGTCGTTTTGATACTCCTCATTGTTGGGGTAGTATTTAGCCGCATCGTAGGCGTTGTGTTTGCGGCCCGAGCATCGCTCGTTTCTCATCGAGTTATGAACGGAATTGTGGCCGGTTCTTTCAAAGTTGCCGCTGCTGGGCTGACCGAAGTTGTTCAGGCTGTTCTGATCCACGTTCTGTCTGGGATCGAACCGATCTGAGCCCCACTTGGGCCGCTCAAATCGGTCAAAGTTCGAGGTTCGCTCCGAGTCGCTCTGGTAGCGCTCCAATGTGCTCTTCTTGTCGAACGAATCATTCTGGAAGGCGTTCTTCAGCATGTTTGGCCTCTCGACCGGCTCGGCCGGTAGGGTATCTAGAATCATTTCCTGCCTACTGTAGTTCAGCGCATTGGGATTAGTGTTGCAGTTGTTGGGGTAGATGTTGTCCGTACTCGAGTCGCTAGTTGTGCAAGGGAACAACGGGAAGCCTCCAGACGCTTGCTTCTCCCGCTGCGACATCCGCAGACTCACGACAATGGCTAGCAAGGTGATTATTGAAATCTCGATGAAGCGCACACTCAGCTCGAAGCCCCACAGGATCCAGTGATGAGGTACCGTGAACTTGTCCACTTTGATGAAGAAGAGCGCGTAGAGCTGGACGAGGCCCAGCAGAATGAACAACAAGGCAACAGCGATGGTAATGTGGCTGGCATAGGAGATGTTTTGAGTGCACATCTCGGAGAGGTTCTGGCTCTTTTTGGCCAGCACGTTTTTGATGATGCGATAGAGGTACAAGTAGCTGAAGCCCAAAGCCCAAGCGAGCAGCACGAAGACTGGCTTGCAGATGGAGAACGAGGCTCGATCGAGGCCGAGCCCCAGCGACTCGAAGATGCTCAAGCAGAAGCAGAGCACGATGTGCAGCAGGGCGAAGACCACCAGAATGACCGGCCGGGTGTTCACCTCCAAGTGGGTCAATGTGCGCTTCAGAAGGAACACAATCAGGACGGCGAACGTGGTGGAGAGCAGGCTCAAGGGGAAACTGTGCAAGAAGTCGTAGAGGAAAATCGTGAAGCTGTTGTGCACGTTGTAAGCGTCGTAGATCAAGTAGAATATCCTCAGGACGCAGATCACGGTGAGCATCAGATGGATGGTGAGAAAGTAGGACTTGGAGAACATGTGCGGGTCGTTCTCGTACCTAATCAGCTTGTAGATGCTGAAGGCCGCCAGAAGAATATACCCAACGACTACCAGGTAGATGTGGACGTTCCAGCAGATTTGCCAGATTTGGTCTGAGCCGACGGCGGTCACGTTGGCTTCCTTCTCCTTCACATTGGGCAGGTTGACGCTGTCGGACATCTGCGTGGTCACATCTTCAGAGTAAGCGGTTTTCTTCTCCAACACCGACCCAGTGCTGGTGTCCTTTTTAACAGTCACACTCTCCGAACGCTCCAAAGAGGGCTGCACCGGCACCACCTCCTTTTTCACCTCCGGCTCCACCTGTTTCGGCTCCACATCCTGCCGATTCAAGCTGGGCTCCGCCGAAGGCGCGCGGGTTTTGGTCACTTTCGGCTCCAGCCGGTCCACACTCGGGGTGGCCGTCACTGTCCGCAACAGAATATCCGAAATGTCGTCGTGCCGCCCATTGGAGCCGCTCAGAATCCGCGTGATGCTCGGAACATTGATTTTCTCATACTCAAAGTTGGTCACGCTGTCGTTGCGCGGGCCGAAAAAGTCGCCCACTCGCACATTCTGGCTGGGCGTGTTCAGACTCTTCTTCTTCTCGCTCTTCGGCTCTGAGCTGGGCAGGTTGGCGGGGCGCGATGGCGATTCGGGGCCGGGGCGCGACAAGGGCGTCTTTTCCGCACCGGCTTTGGGCGGCAGGTCCGGCCGGAACGGGATCCGGTCTTTGGCGGGCATCAGTGAGGGCGGCGGGATCGGGCGGCGGTTCGCAAAATTGTCCGAATTGGTGCCGCGCAACGTCGGCTTGTCCGCGTACGGGTTCTGAAGCGCGGGCGGCAGGGGCGGCGTGAAGAACGCCCGACTGGGCGGCACGTAACTGGGCGACGCCTTCCCGTAGATGGACTTGGTGGGTTTGGCGTTCCGCAGCAGGTTGTAAGTGGTGGTGGTTTTGTAGAAGTTTTCCGTCACCTGCTCCGGGGGCATGTTGATTTCCGGCCGTATTCGATCGTTGTTGTATCTGGAAATAGAGCAGAGGTTAAGCGCTGGGCGGTGGTTGGCCAATTAGGATTCATGTCTAGTTTAGATGGGCTCAAACCGAATTTCTTCCTCATCTGAAGACGTGTGGCACCTGGGCTACAGACAACAAAAGGTTGCTTTATTTGCCACATACCTAGAAAGTATTTTTCAACCAAACGAGAAACACAAACACAAAACAACTCTTAGTTACACCAAAAGAGGTAATTAGAGAAATAAAAGCAAACATAAATTCCAAAAAAGCTCCAGGCTATGATTTAGTTACGGGAGACATACTCAAACAACTCCCAAAAAAAGGAATTATTGAAATTACCCATTTAATGCATCGTTTCGCTTAAAACACGTTCCTATGTTGTGATGCCAAAACCCGGCAAAACTGTAAACGAAGCTAAATCTTACAGGCCCATTTCTCCTCTGCCTGTGCTATCAAAATTATTTGAGAAACTTTTTCATAGAAGGCTGAAGAAGATAATTGATGAGGGACAGAAGTTTGGCTTTCGCAATAAACATTCTACAGTCGATCAAGTACATAGAATAACAAAAGTAATAGAAGAGTGCCTAGAAAAGAAGAAGATATGCTTCGCCGTTTTTCTAGACGTCGCCCAGGCGTTTGAGAAAGTTTGGCATGATGGCCTCATCCAGAAACTAAACTACTCTTTCCATTGCAGTATGCACAGCTATTGGAATCATATTTAAATCGTCGAATCTTCAGAATCAAACAAGGGAACGAATACTCTTGAGTTGAAATTGATAACAGCTGGAGTCCCGCAGGGCAGTCTTCTGCTTGGACCAGTGCTGTACTTATTATACAGGGTTATTCACGCTATACGGCACGGACGTTTGCGGCTAAACCGTTTGATTTTTAAAAAGTATTATTTTATGAATTGTCCGACGCCTACCGAGCGCACCTTTTAAAAATATTTTTGTAATGTACAGGGTGTCCCAAAGGCTCCAAAGGTATCAAAGTTGCGTTTTTTTTAAATGAAACGTCCTGTATATTATTGCATTTTTGGATTCGCTGAACAAAATAAGTGTCTGTTTTAATAAGGTTTATAATACCTACATCTTAAGGTTTTTTAAATAATACGAATTTAATCAAAATCTAATCCAATTTTCACGTGTCAAATACTTTAGAAGTATTTCAGTTATGTAAACGTAATTTATAGTGAAGTGTAACAAGATATAATATTTTATATCCCAATGATAATAAACTTACCATGTTATACAGGGTGTCCACAAATTTAAACTAATCACCGTGCCGTATAGCGTGACTAACCCTGTATACTTGCGACATACCTGTAACAGATAACATAGAACTAGCAACATTTGCTGATGATACTGCAGTCCTAGCAGTAGGAAATTCTATAGAAGAGACATGTGAAATTAAATAACAATATAATTCCTCGCAAAGAAACTACTAAATATTTAGGACTTGATAGACCTTGATGCCAAGCATAGTTGGAAAGTTCACGTTAAAAGGAAGACTGAACAATTAAAACTCAAATACAAAAGCATCTATTGGCTGCTGAGAAGAGGTTTGCAGCTTTCCATTAAAAACAAACTACTGGTTTACCAACAAGTCCTTAAACCAGTGTGGACATATTATTATTATATTACTAAGGAACATTGTTGACGCACCCTGGTAGGTTCGGAATGAGGATCGTGAGCTACAAGTGCGGACAGTCAAAGAAGAAATAGCGATAGCAGCCAGGAGACATGAAGAGAGACTCCACAACCATCCGAATGATGAAGTACTTCAACTGCTAGTTGAACATTAGCGTGAAATGAATCGTAAAAAAGCAGAGTATAGTGCGGGTTAGCCACAACAGTTTAGTGCGCGAAACCATGCGAAAACCTGTGATGGACCGCGGGGAATATCACAGTTAACAAACCGTAGTAATTTAGGTTATATTTAGGATGCTTGTTAATCTAACAAAAAAAAAAAAATTTGAAGACGTTTGGAAGAAACTCGTTTCCACGACGGCCTAAAAACCCGCTGCGAAAAAATCGCAGTCACGATTGTTACATTTTTAATGCATTGAATTTGTGAACTCTCACCTATTGGGATTTCCATAGTTTTTGTTGTGGTTGTTTTTCAAAATATCGGCAGCCGGAGCTGAAGTGGGCAGGGCGTGGTCCTTTTCCAGATCCGACCCGTACCCCTCAATATCCCTTCGACTGTTCTCCGGCTCGAAGTCGGGCTGCTCAAAGTCCACACTCGATCTTCCCAGATCCAATGGAGAATTTTGATTTTTCAAGTCGACGCGCGCCCACTCTTCCGATCCATCCGAGTACCTGAAAAAGGGGGGCGGTGAGAGGCAACTTTTCCACTGTTGGTGAGAACAGAACTTACCGGAACGTTGTGAGTAACATTGTGGCCATGGTGGTCACCGGATAGGAGTTATCCGGAATGCTTCGCTTTGTCGTGCTTCCATACGCGACTTTGTTGAACACGGCCGCAATGCTTTGTTCGAGGTTAATTTTGTCTAAAAATTGTTCGGTCTTCTCCAGCTCGTTAGCCCAGGCTTGCACGCAATTCCCGCCCAGCACTGTCAACGATAACGTTAAAAATAGCGCCTTGTCGAAAATTGACTTCCGGCCTTTAGCGCACATTAAAGAGTATAGGCACACGAATAACTTACACGATATCGATAACGCTAAACTAAACGCTAAATTACAGTCTTCAAATAAACGATCACAGACATTTGCAGGCTCTAATTGTTCACTATCGCAGGCCAATCGTAGGGCACAATCACTTTGCACGGTCGTTTCATCGGTGCCATCGAAAGCACACGCACGAACGTGGAAATTGTTCCGTTCCAGACGCTTTTCCCGGTTTCTGCAACGGCAGCGTTTAGATCGTCTGGATTCACAGCCTCTCGAGTCACTTTCCACCGATTTGAGTCGATCCATGTCAGCTGGCTCCTGCCGATATCTCGGTATATCCAGAGAGCCGACGAGCATCGAACAGCTCGTAATTGCCATTTTATGGATTATTGCCGTTTTATAGATGAAAAGTGGGGAAAGGTAGCAGTAACTGTCTCATCTCTGGATCCAACGAGGGTGAGTCGAAATCTGGAACAAAACGACAATCATCAGCGTCGGCTTAAAACGTTTCTAGTTGATGAAGACAATTTTTGCATCGTTTCCCTCAATTGCTATACAGGGTTGCTCATTAGTGCGTCAAAGTGCGATATCTCAGTAAATATGAAGTTTACAAGAAAATTCGTCCAACGAAAGATTTTCACGTTTAA